AGACTAGCCCCAGCAAGTTGGCCAGCATAAAATATTATTGATTGAAGTGAATGTACTTATTTAACGATCGAATAAACTTAATAAATCCTTCATTAACTTTGAAGTCACATGGCAAGTGGGCTTCAAAATAAGTTTGAAATCACATGTCAAACATGATAGAAAAATATGTACCTTCTGGAGTTCTGACTCTTTCGGTAGAAATAGGCTATTAATTATCTGCCTCTTGAGTAAATAATCTATCTTTTCATTAGTATAATTATATCAAGATCAACAATTATTGGGGGTGGATATCCTAAATTTTTAAAATGAATCAAATTAGGCGCGGGTTTTTTGTATGTACCAAATGAATCCAAAATCTGTTGACAACTTGACATTAATTTTTGCGTATTGATTCTTGAACCTGTTTGCCAGCAACAAGGGGACAAATTAATCTTTTTTTTTTCCCTCTAATTATATATATATATATATATATTATAAAAAGGCTCAGAATCTAATCATGGATCTTTAGATAATAACAGTCCATGGAGCCTTAACAAATCAATCTTTCATTATCATGTATTGATATAGTCAGTGACGGATTTAAGGGGGGTCAGGGTGGTCGATCGACCCCCCGGCTGGCCGGATTTGGCCAAATTTTTTCTTAGTAGGGTGTCCGTTATTTGAAATTTTTTCAGTTCGACCCTCCGATGACGGTTGAATAATCTTATTTTTGACCCCGCGATTTGAAAATTCTCGTTCCGTCACTGGATATAGTGTTTATGACTCTCACCGCTCGAAGTATTTAACCAACGCAGAGATCAATTTATGATGTCTCTCTTTCATCTCTTCTGTTACTTTTACTTTAGTTTCGTTAGCAGGGTAAAAAAAGGAAGGCAAAAGAATTAATAAAATTTTGGGTTATAATGTTTTTAGTAAAATTTACCAATTTTTAATCTCAAATTGTTTACATTAACTCCTCGTAAAACCGTCGAGAGAGAGGGAGAGACTTGAGAACAAGTTGGTGTATGCCCCATCTGATTTAGAACTGAAGATTTAAGCCCTAATCAGTTATGCTCATTCCCTATCCAACCTTTTTGGGGTCATCTGTCCATATTGGTTTTACACAAATAAAGCAATGTTCGCAGTGGAGTTTCAGCATTGTTTTTTTATTTTTAATTTTTATTTCTTTTATCTTTCGATTGCATTACTATAGACCATGATTCATATTGTATTAAAAGTATGTACATACTTATTTATACACAACGAATACATTTGTCTGGATATGCATGTATCTGTAGTATCGTGTTTTTAGATCATTATCTCCAATATTGTAGTGGCTTATTACCATTATGGTTATTTCTTCATGACTAAACCTCACTTTTTATTCTATATATGTGGGAGTAAATACAATTTTGCTATGTATATTTCACGGTTTTTACTGTCCCAAACCACTATATTCAATCATTAATATACAAAATTTTGTCATCATTGAGCATTATATGGTTTTCCCTAGTTCGGCAGTAAAAAAATGTATCAAGGACAATGAAAATAGTCTCAAATCATGAGTAATTAGATAATCTATATATCCTATTAAAACAATAGTCCAAGAGAAAAAAAAAGTTGATGTGTCGCATTCTCATGCATCCGTTTCTCGCCCAACAAAAACTACGTAGTTTTGTGAAAAAAATTAATTTCTACAATCTTTAATTGTGTTAACTTTTCTTATTCTTAATTATAATCAATCAATTAGTATTAATAGAATAAGACATTAACGATATAAATAATAATTTTTTTTTATTTTTAAAATTTAAAATATAACAAGCTGAGTTAAAATTAAAAAATATTTTTACCATTTGTATATTTAATTTAAAAATGTAAAATTGTAAATGGATCGGGCAATACTCGGACAAGCACCTAGTCACTGTTGATTGAAAAAGAAGAGCCTAATGACATGGAATGATTTTGAATGACGGAATCAGAATGGAGCCCCAACTGGTACTTGCAGTTACTGGGCATTTAATCATCTTGCTTGTTAAAGTAAAAATATTGGGGGTTTTGTTTTTATTTTTGTTTTTTGTTTTCCCGTAGAATTAGGCGCTACTCATGATATGAAATACGCGTACAGTTCAAAATAGAAAATTTTATAGTTTGGTCAATAAGAAGTTGAGTGTTATAAATATATATTATAATTATAGAATGTAAATTTGAGTTTGGTAGTCTTTTTTAAGTATTAAGTATGAGGTGTTTTTTTCCCCTGTTTTTTCAATCAAGAAAATGAAAGGGTCTTGTGTTACTTTTGTTACTTTTTTAATGTTCTAACCTTTGTTCATCTTCAATGAACTTTTTTTTATTTTAATTTAAATAGACTTTATGTTTTACATTTAGTGTTCCTTTAATGTTTTGACCTTTGACCTCCTTCAATTAATTTTTTATTTTATTTTTAATTTAAAGATTATAAACAAATTGATATTCATTATTAGTTGAAGCTTGATTGGCCATGGTTTCAATTATTTTTGTAGCTTTAAAGCCTTCATGAGTCTATTCTTCTTTGAATTTAAATATTTCATTAATGAGAATTATAAAGATTATTCCATAACTCAAATATAATACTAAAAGTTTTGTACTTTAAATTTGTCAATATATGTAGCTCTTAAAAATAAGAGTTTTATCATATCTTTTTTCTCTTTTCAATTGTCTGTTTTTTTACACTTAATGACTTTTTCATCTCAAACTCATTTAAGGTATTCAACTAATTTTACTCATTTCTTGTGAAACTTCAGGTTTCGACTTCTTTTTCCTTCTTTTCTTATTTATTTATTTATTTATTTTTAAGGGGGAGGGGGAAGGGGATTGCTATGTAAAAATTTGTGAATGTATACTTTTTTTTTCTTTCTAGAGTTAGAATATTATTTCTATTTATCCTAAATTATGTAGAATATTTTATACTATACTATAATATGGTTCACGTACGCGCAAATGCGTTTATTCCATCTTGTCGATACTAATTATCATTCTTTATAAGTAATGTACTACAGATGATTACACCGATGCGTTGGACCGTTTACTATATCACGTGTTAGACCCTTAATTTCCGAGCCTTACATCACGTGCAGTTGGACATGCACGTCATGCGAGAAATACGAGCCGAATGATACTGACATAGTGAGTTGCGAGTAGTCAAGAGTCTATGCTTTATTTACTTAGGAAACTCGTTAATGATAAACAAGAGTAAAAGTACCATACACAAAATAACAGAAATCAGGTAATGCCAGAGATGTCAAGAGCCTATCATTTATTTATTTAGTGGAGTTTTTATTATTTAATTAGTATATCAGTAGGTAAACTATTAGTAGTTATTTTATTTTTCGGTACAATAAGAGAGAGAATAGCCTAAAAATTACACAAACACATTTCGGAGATATACTATCTCAATAACATCATGTTCTCACTATGGTCTAACACCTAGTGGTGAAGTTTCTATCCGATGTAAACCTCCCGGAGTTTGAACTGCCAATAACGCTAAATAATCAGCTGCAAAATTAGCTTTTCAAAACTCATATTTGAGATCCACTTCCCAATCCCGAGCCAACAAGCTTCTAATCCCACAAATAATCCCATCATTTAATCCATAAACCTTATTTTAGCCTTTAATCATAGAGAAAATGATTATCCACCTCTGCTACACTTTCCTCACTCCAACATCCCATACAAGAGACAAAGTCGTGTTAGTGAGACATAGCTTCCTTAGAATGTTGGAGTCTGTTTATATGTCTTGTATTTTTATTCTAATTTAAATAGCAGAAATCAATGAAATTTTTATAGTTTGCTAAAAATCTCTCCTCTTTCTCTTTAATTTGGGAGTTTTAATCCCGACTCAAACAATAATATATAATTAGAAATTATTTGCCTTTCACTACATATCGAACTATATTCAATTTTACAGAAGAATCATTTTTTCCTTATATAGCGCTGTTCTTCGATTACTGCTATTGGAGGCAAAGATTTGTTGTTTTTTGGCGACTTCTACAAGGTTTCCCTGGTTTAACAAAAAAGAAAAAAGAAATTCCTTGAGGAAACCCTTATGTTGTCTTTCATTATTCCAAACAAAAATTGTATGAGGAAAAATCTTACCACGAATAAATAAACAACAAATAAGTAGAGTTAAAAATATGTATAACTTTGATAGAGTTAATTTGAGTACAAGCGCGGAGAATAAAAATTCTAGTTAAGTTGTTAAATCATTTGTGTTTTTGGGGTACAATGAAGTTTTTATATTATGAGATAGGTGTGCTAAAGATTGTGCAGTAACAAAAGAGTGCTCTAAAAGTTGATACTTAGAGTATGTACGCAGTGCTCAATGTACGTAAGAATGAATTTATCCACAAAACTATTATCACTTCATGTAAAATAACATCACATTTGTATTAGTATTACCATATTAGCATATTAAATAATAAGTATACATAAATCTGCTAGGAACATTTGGAATATGAATATATGTATGTAGGTCCGCCGCGGGCTCATATATGATTCCGCACAAACATATTTTGAAAGGAAAATTAAGTAAATACCTATTACATATTTAATTTAAATGATTTTTTCTTTTTGTTTGGGGTGGTACACTGAAGTTTTTATATTAGGAGATAGAGTGCTAAAAATTTTGCAGTATGAAAAGAGTGCTAAAAGTTGATACTTCAATTAAAATACTCAAAAGCACGCAGTGCTCCAACGTAATAACATCAAATTTTTATTAGTTTTATAGTTATTATGATAGCACAGACCAATTTTGGATTATGCATGTGTATATCCGTCGTGGGTGCCACCTCATATACTCCGCACAAACAATTTTAAAATGCAAATTGGCAGATTAGGTGAACCTAATGCATACCTTAATTTTGTAAAGCATACATCTAGCAGCCGTTAAAATATGTTTAATAATTCACAGCGAAAATGGAGTCGTCCGGGTTCATCAGCCCCTATAAATATAGGACATAATCCAATTCATCCTTCACTACATCCATATCCATACAATTAAATAAGAAAAACTCGCTTACAATCTTCCAAATTTGAAAAATGGCGAAAATAGTAGCCTTTTCATTTGCCATGGTTTTCATTGCCATGATGACCAGCTCATTGGGTCGCGAGTTTCCACTAGCAGAACAACCCAAGCACACCAAGATTCACGTGTTCCTTAACAACATCCAGACCCTGAATCCTTTGCCGAGCGAGACGGTAGCTCAGTCCAGCACTACCGCCTCCTCGCCAACAGGATTCGGGAAGGTGCTTGGAGTAGATGCTCCCATGACCAAGGTTTCCATGTCGGAGAACATCAACGCCGAGGTTGTCGGTCGGATTCAAGGGCTCGCTATATCAGCCGGACATGCCGAATTTGCTGGCGTAGATCTCCTCACCTTCGTTTTCAACGAAGATGGCCCGTACAAGGGTAGCACCCTTACCGCTGTCGGCCGTATTATGCCGGCTTTGACAGAGTTTACCGAAATCAATCACCTTATCATCGTCGGCGGGACAGGCCTTTTCCAGAGGGCTCAAGGACGTATCAGCTCCAGGACTGTGTTTGTTGATCCCAAACTCGGAGATGTCTCTGAGCTGAAGTTGGACTTCTATCACTACCCACCAACCCCTAAACACAGTGATAAATGATGATTCAAGAGTATCATTCTTTGTTCTCTCATATCAGCCATGCATATTTCTTTCATCAACGTTTCTTAGGTTGTTGTTGCTGTTTTTTTTTTCTCTTCTTGAAAAAAATATCCATTGTAATCAATAAAGAGATACGAGCCACTCCGGCGACGTATCAGTGTTTATGGTTTATAATTTGAATTTGTCGATTCCTTTGTACGCCGTTTAGTTCGACTTTGTCCTACATTTTGGCCAGCTTCGCTGGATTTCATTAACAAGGCTAATGATTATGCATATTGAGATTTCCATTTGAATGTAAATTATACTCAAAATGAAAATCTCAAGAAAACAATAATTTTGGAATACTGCAAACGTAACTACAACACGCATTTTCTTCTTCCCTACATTATACTTTCTTTTCCCACTATATCTATTTCTTGGGTCAAATCAATTTTACTTTTTTACGGGAAAAAAAGCACAATAACAGTATTTTTGTTTGTGATACAAAAGGGTTTTTAAAGCCATGATGATGTTTTACGATCTGCATTTGCCAAACCGATCCTGGATCGATGAAAATAAAAATTTTGAAGTAAATAGTTATAGGACAGTATGGGGTGGATTAAATCTTACGATCCCGGCTAGCAAGTTTTGTCCATTCTCTGAAAAATTTTTCTTTGACTATATATGAAAAGGATGATAATTTATGAAGAGAATGATAATTTGAGGAATTTAAATGTAAAGAGACTATTACGGTTGTTGAAGGTCAACCAATCCAAGAATTTAAATGTAAGTCTTCCATTGCTCTGTTTTCTGTATTTTCTTTGGAGTACCAGTCTGTATGTATTGCTTATGGAGTCTGGCGAGAGATTTCGAGGACGTTATCCAATTTTTTTTTTTTTGTTTGTTTTTCTCTGACCAAGAAAAGCTTAAGAATTAAGGTAAATAATATTAGAAAAAGAAGACATTTCTGACTTGATTAGTCTTTTTCTTTTTTTTTTCTCTGACCAAGAAAAGCTTAAGAATTAAGGTAAAAAATATTAGAAGAAGAAGACATGGCTGACTTGATTAAATTAATAACAATGATATATCTTCGCGTAAAACTAAAAAAAAAAATTATAAAGTACCATAAGTGTATAATACGGGACACTAGAAAAAGCTAATTAAATCACTATTAGCGTCTAAATATTGGACATACATTTCAACATGGATATTAAATTTATACATTTTAATTTCTATATGCTTTACCCTCCTGTCGATTCGATCCCATTGATCCAAAATGTGAATCCATTTTGCAGTATCAAAACGACCCCGTGTGAAATCACCATTTTGAAAGCCTTGGTGATATGTAATAAGTCTAGGACAAAGTTGAATGACTATATTTTTGGAGTATTTATAATTCAATCAACAAAATCGGAGATGTTTCTGAGCTGATATTGGACTTCGTTCGTTACCCACCAACCCCTAAACACAAATTGATGCATGATTTAAGAGTATTATTCTTTGCTTTCATATCAGCCATGCATATTTCTTTCATCAACGTTTTTTATGTTGTTGTTACTGTTTTTTCTCTCATCTTGGAAAATTTCCAATGTAATCAATAAAGGGATACGCGCAACTCCGTCGCTTATCGGTGTTTATGGTTTTTAATTTCAGTTTATCTTCGATTAGACTTTGTCCTACTCTTTTTTTGCCTGCTTCGCTGGATTTATAATTTAATTTTTTTTTCTGTACATCTGAAATAATTATCTAGTTTGAACTTTTTTTTTTCAACTTTTAATACATATTTTACAACATATAAAAATTCACACTAAACAATTATTATAAAACAGAAAAGTAAATAAAACCTTAGACCTCTGTACTTAGTGCTTTTTCCCCTTCATATGAACAGCAACATTGTACTAATTAATCACGTGGGTCAAATCAATTGATTTTGGGGTTGGATGTATACTCGGTTCTAAGTCGTTACAGTTTCAAGAATTCACTTTACCTACTGCTTTTTTACAACAACTTTATTTGTAATAATCTCTGATTTTGGAAACCATCAGTGGCCACAGTTTTCCTGCAGATACTAAAGATTAATTAATTAATAATAGTATTTGCCTCCTAGTTAATTTGATGGATATACATGTGATGAGAATTCACACACACAAGTAATAGGAAACTTCCGGTTTACAATTTCTCTGCACATTACATGTATGTTCTACTTAACTTCCTATTAAATGTGCTAAACTGAACTTTTTTCAACATTTCAAATCCTCTGATTTTTTTGAAAAAAAAAATCAAAATAAAATAATTATTTTAAAACAAATAGAATACTATGCAAACTAACTTATCTGAATTTCTTAAAAAAAAATTATACCATCTAACCTGCTCTGTTTTCCTATTATAATTGTTTATTGGATCAAATCAAATTTATTTAGTTGAAAAGAAAAAGAAGATAGCCTTTTTGTCCATAGTATACTACAGCCTATAACAAATTTAGATGATTTTATTTTTGGAGAATTTTTCGTCCAATTAACAAAATCAGAACAATGAGAAACTTTCAGGAAGTAAATGCTAGTTTAAGATCAACAACAAAAAATGAAAGATGGCCTTAAACTGAAATCTTGCATCTCTCTCTGTACATGCAATTTCCCGTTAGTCTCTCATACATCTTAAATAAACACAAACTGTGAGGAGAGCTAGCAAGAAATTTCAATGACTAGCAGCTTCAGATGAAATATAATTCCCTAAAGTCAAAGTCAGAAGGAAATTCCTCCACGTCAGCGGCTGGAAGTGGTCTTGCATGTATTTGCATGGAAGATCCTCCCTGTACTGAGAATTGAATAATAGTGTAATTATTAGGATGTTGTGCAACTTGGTACTTAGACTTGGGTTAAATTCCCACTAAAGAGTATGTAAGAAGTAATTTACCCACATTTAAGTGGGACCCTCTGGACAAACATTAGCTACCTGCTTTGGACAACAGCCACAAAAACTGCATTGGAGACAAAAACCAAGCTAGGATTTGTTGATAGGAGTTGTGCCATGCCTGCAAGCACTTCTCTTCACTTTCCCAAATGGAAAAAGGTAAACTCTATGGTTATTTCTAGGATCCTTAGTTCGATTTCTGAAGAATTAGTTTATCAATTTATGTACATCAGTATTGCAAAGGATCTTTAACATGAAATTGAGGAACGATATGGCTCAACCAATTTGTCTTTGTTGTTTTAAATTAAGAGAGACATTACCATGGTAATTGAATGACAACCTAATGGTTAGGATGGTGTGCTTCCTGGTATTAGGCCTGGTTTCAATTCCCACTAAGGGGTATGTAAGAGAAAGTTTTACCCACATTTAAGTGGGTCCACTGGGGTGGATTTTTTTAATCTAAAAAAAGAAAGACATTGCCATTAAAAGAAATATAATATGTTTGTGACTCAATATTATGGAAAACACAAGAATTTAAGGGATCAGTTAGGCCAGAGTTATCGTGAATTTAATTGTGAAAGAGCTATTCAGCCATGGATTGATACTGGTTAACATCCAAAGTATGTCCTAGGAGTTAAAGATGCATTGAAAGTTATGATGGCACTGATTCATGCTAGGAGTACCTAGGATAGGACTATGGAGTTTCTTCTAGGTCTAAGTGATGTCTTTGATGCAAAGAAAAATCATTATCCTCTTATGGATCCTTTGCCAAACATAAGCTGAGTTTATTCAAAGATTGTCAATGCTGAAAAGGATAGGGAAGTCAATGTTAGCATTGCTGCTACTTCAAAAACCTCTGGTCTGAGTGTTAAGCAGGATCATGTAAGAAGGAAGGTGCTCAGAAACCGAGTTTGAAGAATGAGAAAACTGATAAGAATCAGTTGTTTTGCAATTACTACAAGAAGCCTGGTCATATCAAAGAAGGTTACCACAAATTTAATTAGATATCCAGAGCCTAAGATCTGTTCACATTGCAACATGCCATGTCATATAAAAGAGAGATATTACAAGATCATAGGCTTTGCAGATTCTACAAAGAAAAAACCAGCTGCTGGAATGCCTACTGTGAATGTTGCTAAGTCACCTATGGATTTGAATGAGTCACGTGAAACAGAATGGGATGAAGCAATTGCCAACGTTGTTCACATCGAGCTTGGAAGGTTGATCAAAGGAGAAATGCCAGCTGACTCTTCTAACACTGTGAATTTTGTTCATATCCAAAATTTGGCAGGCAACTCTATCTTTACTTGATTATCTTCTATGACTGATTATATGCTTTATTGTATTTAGTTCACTGATACAAGGGCCGCTGATCATATGAATGGTTCCAACAACCTATTAAACATTTTACCCCAGTTTGTTTACCTGATGTGAGTATTCAGTCCGTCTCTCATATAGGAGATGCAATTTTGTCACCATTAATAATCTCAAAAGATTGCCTACATTTGCCTACTTTCAAATATTACATGTTCTCTGTCATATTAGCAAAAGACTCGCAATTGTAGTTCAATTTTTTTTTTTTTTTTTGATGAGTTTTGCCTTTTGTAGGACCTTAAAACCTGTAGAGTCTTAGTAGCTGGTAGGATCATCAAAGGTCTCTATGCTTTAGATCACACATCCTTGACATAACAAGCCATCCAAAAGTCACAAGAACTTGCATCTTATATATTTTCAACCAGAAGATATCATAGTGTTTCTAGATTAGGTCATCCTTCTGTTTTTGTAATAATGGCAATCTTAATGCTTTGACAACTTCGATTGTTCATGATCCGTGCTCTAGATTAGGTCATTCTTCTATTTTTGTAATGAGACAACTTAGTAGAAACTTTCGTATTGTTAAATCAACCAGAGATGTTAGCTTGTATGAGATTTGTCCTTATCTAAGCAACACTGGGAACTTTTTCTTTAAGTACTATTCAAGCAAGTAGAGTTTTTGAAATGTTACATATTGATGTTTTGGGTGCCATATAAATATAGCTCAATCAATAGTTGTCATTATTTTCTTATCACGGTAGATGACTACGGTCGTTCTACCTGGACTTTTCTGTTGAAACACAAAACAGACCTTACTTCATCATTTTATTGAGTATGTAAAAGCTCTATTTTAATCCTTTGTCCAAACGATTCGAGTTCATAATGGTTCAGAGTTCTTAAACCTTGAATGTCAAAAAATGTTTGCTAGTAATGTCATTGTCCATCAAACCACCTGCCCTTACACACAAAAGAAACATCGCCACATTCTACAAGTCGCTAGATCTCTTTTGATTACATCCAAACTACCTAAACGTTTTTGGGGGGAATCCATCCTGACATCCATTCATTTGATCAATGTAC